ATCCACTACTTCCCTTCGCAAACAACACACACTGTGGCAATGCGCTTGGCTGGCATGCGCCGCACATGCCTCAACCAACACAATCTTTGGAGGTCCAATACTCGTTCTAGTGGACGACCTAAAACTCTGCGCCAAACCTCAGCAGTGCTTGTGCGGTCTCCGATCTCCCCATCCGACTCATGCGATGCGGCGTAGACAGCAGTGTTTGAACACCGATAATCTGTTTTTATGTTGTTCCCGCAATGGTGTATTTGTGGCTAATTACGAAAAACACAAAGTGACCTTACAATGAATGCCATCTAGGTAACTAAGGTGATATATCTCTGATATATCTAACATGTAAGTCAATCCCTTCCCTATTGTAATTTCCCACGGCATAAATTTGATTCTATGAGCCACTGAACAACCAGTCCTCGTCGTTTTCTCCATTTTTTAATTCATAAAGGGAGAATGATCAAGTGAACACCGCGGCAAATTCCATGGGAAGTGATAATTCTGGTTCCACATGTGTACCGCTTTCCTCTGCTTGCACACAAATCGCTCCTGCTGGTGAAGCTACAGCAGTTGGTGGGCGCATTCTGTTTGCCTCCCTGCCTGCAGTGTGCTCGATTCCCGGTATAAATGCTACAGTCGAACGGGGTGATAGAACTACCAAGCCACCATATTCGTACGCCCAGTTAATTGCCCAAGCAATCGCCACCCAACCGGATCGTCAACTGACATTAAGTGGAATCTATGACTACATCAGTCAAAATTATCCCTACTATAGTCCTCACGACAAGGGATGGCAGAATTCGGTCCGACATAATCTGTCATTAAACCGGCATTTCTTCAAGGTGAGGTGGTGTTGTGTTTGTTCTTTTATTATAACTAGTTGCATAATTTCTCCAATTATAAAAGTGTCAGCCTAAACGCGATCTGTATTTGTCCGACCTAAGAATTTGGGTAAACAACATAGACATATTTCGTTAAAACAGAGAAGACAAATACTGCGAGATGTTAACATTTCTAATCTCTTCAGTGGCTACAACGTAAAACAATCAAACAAGCAAGTTTTGATAACTACAGTAGTAAGACGGACAATAGTCAGGGAAGCGGGGGAGAGGGTGGGGTGGGAAATCAGGTCCATGGCAGTCTGACTGAATGTGTAAGGAACTTTTGTGCACACAAGACTGGGTTACGTAACTTGATTAGCATCGCTTCTCTAAACGCCAAAATCCTGGGATTCAAGTTACGTAATAACGGCTTGAACGACATTTGTGGGTCAATGGTGTGTTCAGTTGGCATGAGATGTTTTGCGATGGATGACCCTGGATTTCTCTTGTCGGTTTGACCTCTGAGACTTTGTTGCGTCATCGATTGTACCAACCATTTAGGAATGTGTTCAGACATCCGCTGTGCCAGGGGCCTATTCGTTCTGCCGATGTAAGTGTCACCGCAACTGCAGGTGAACTGGTAGACGATATGTGAAGCAGAATTGTTCGGCTGGTTCTGTTTTCGATTGTCTAAATGAAATCCTTGGGTATATTGACATATTTCTTCCTCAATTGAAAACACATAGTAGGAGTCTGAGTCTCCAAGTGCTATATTGTATTATTATTATTATATATTATTTGTTGATTGCCTGTCATGGAGTGCTCATTGCGTGCAAGGTTACAGGCTATATCATACACTAATATTTTTGATGCGCGGGCTTTTAGTCGATACGTTTAGCTGTGATCCTCGTCCGCCTTTTTAGATTCTAAATTAAGAATTGCTTTAT